AATAATTTTTTCGCTTTCAGAATCTTCTTTGAATCAAATTCATTTTCTATCAGTGTATAAATTTCTCCATTATTTATTGTAAAGAAAAACTTTATTGGTACAAATATTTCTGTCTTAGATAAGTTAATAATTACCATCAAAGCGATTTCGAATTCTTAATAGTTACATATTGAGAGTATATTTATTAGTTATTACACAGAAGAAAAAAAGAATAGATTTTATTTACTCAACGAAATATTAAGGAAAACTAAAAATTCTTGAATAAAGCCATAATTTCTTGAACGAAGTCAAATTGTCTCGAGCCAAGAAAATTTGTTCTAGCTCCCAAATAACTTTAGTCTTCCTCAAAATTTTCTTAGCGCAAGAAATCTTTTTTTTTTGTGTAACGATGTTACTTGAAGTGAGAAATTCATAAAGTATTAATGAAACAATATTTAGTAATACATAAATTAATCTTGAGAAGAAATTTTCTTTTGAGAGTAAATGTAATCGAAATTAGTATGTTACAAGATTCCATCTGACGCATCTCTAATTCAGCTGACTCGTGATAATTGACGAAGCTTAGCGAATTTAGGTGAGTATCATAGATAGGAGAAGCACTGTTCCAGAGGAGTAACGCAGTGTTTATCGGAGCGTATCCCTAGGTTACACATCGGATTGTCAGGCTCACACATAACACCAGCACAACTAAACCCAGAGACTTAGGGGTTCTCGTAATCCCCCACTTTACCTTGGTCATCATGGCTGCCATTCGTTACCCCGTTATTGCAACTCTGCGAAGATCTAACCACCATTCCCGGATAACCTCCAGCATCCGACCACACACGCTCTCCGATATCTCTTCTACAATACTCTATAGTCCATTTAATTCGTCAGTCTCATAATTATTTTCAGTTGTTCAGGACTTGATCAACGATTAGTCTATGTTCTTGTACTTTGCTAAAATGTTTTATCCATATCTAGTATACTGTGACAAAATGACTCAATTTAGATTATTATATTCAGTAAGTATAAAATACTGAACACTGATCATAAAATCCACAGAGCATCTTCTTAAAGCTATATGTTCATGATTTCGCAAAAGTTTGTTTTTCGCAAATAAGAATTTTATATTAAAATTGCACGAAACAAGTTTCTGTCAATGTCAGACTTTATATTGGATGAAAGACCCCGAATCTAACTTTTTAACAGCAACTGCTGGCAATTAATTTATTTTGTTCGTCGTAGTCAAAGTACTAAATAAATTTATGAAGAAACGCCCAATAACCAATCCAAGACCATATTTTTAGAAACTCCGTTCCAACAAACTTATGGAATAAATATATATTTAACCAGGCTGTATAGTTTCATAAATTGAATATCGTCGTTCTCATTAGCTAATTGCCTGATTTTATTTTAATTTAATGAATATAAAAGAAAAAAATTAATCATTTTTATCGTCAAAAATTTAACTTAATATTGCAATCATTGAAAACAATCGGTATAAAAAAATAAGAAAAAAAATGAGTTACGTAACGTTCTGGAAATTTGGGTTTTTTCCCCAAATTACATTTAAAATTTAATCTTTAATTTTTGTAATAATTTCAAAATGAGCCGAAACTTCACAGTTGCTTCTTGTAAATTCTGCAATATTTTAATCAGATTGCATTTGTACTTTCATTTAAATATATTTAAATTTAGATTAGCACCTTCAGTATTCGATCCGCTGGTATGCTTATAACTTTCGAATCAGTATTCATTGAATCTAAATTGGATAGTTATGGCTTAATTGTGCGTGCAAAACTTGCCAACCGAAAATTTTTGACAAACAAAGATTGTGTTTTTTCTAAATTGTAAAAAGTATTAAATTGTTTTGTGCTGTTTCATTTTGTAAAACGTCCAGAAAAAATTGAAAAATAAAACTTTTCTATCTTGTTACGCTGATAGTAAAAGGCCAAATTATTTTTAAATCTATTACAAGTACGCGGTTATATAAAAACTATTTGTAAAAATATTATTGCTCTTTGATGTTGTCATCTAGCACTATGTTAGTTGAAAGTATTTCTATGAAATTTTCAAGTTGCATGTGATAAAAATTTTACATCGAAAGCATTTATTAAATAGAAGCTTTTTGTAATATCGGAAACAACAAACAATCGCAAGCGAAAATGAACACTACATTAAATCGATAAATGAAGAGAGGATAAAATACATACTTAAATTAATTAAAAAAGCTGACTAATAATTAACGTTAAATGAACCAAATATCGGTTTTTGCAATTTGAAATAAATGATTGTGTGGCATTTTAACGATTATTTCTAGCAAACGGCGCATCAGAAATAGGGGTTGTAATATTGTCAGCTCACAAATAGACCGAATAGAATGCTATAAATGGGCATTGATTATTCGTGTTTACGCAAATTCAACATTGACTATAGAGCTGCGAAGATGTTTATGGCTTTTATTTGTCCATAATAAACATGACATTTCTCTTTGATAATATAATGATAAAAAAAATTTCGACTAACTTCAAAATAATACATATATTTAGAATGTCTCAATATATTACTCATAAAATAAACGGAATAGACTATCGTCCTCAGATAAATTGATGATACTTGTTTTTTTGAGTTATTATAGATATTTTAACTTGTCAACCCTTTCGTACCCAAAGCAAAAAAACTCCGACAGTTATAATAACTAAAAGAGGAAAAATTCTCGTGATCTCTTTGAGTATGACTCCCTCGGTAGCTATTCCACTCCTGGATCTGGCTCGAAACGCGTTACACGCATTTTTATCAAATGTTACGAGCATTGAAACGACCGGATGAAAACCAATATCTCAATGCCGCATGGGAATCCGCCCCTATCTACTGTATTCGCATTCTTTTTTCGTTTCTCCTTTTAAGTAATTTATTAATCTTTCGATTAACCCTTTATAACTTTAAATAAACTTGCTAAAAACAATTGAGTGAAAAATACTTTAATTTGATAGAAAACACAATTTTGCATAAAAAGGGCAGACCATTTAATCCGAGTTACATTTTTTAAGTATTTCAGGTTTCTAAAGTATTAAAGACTTATTCTCGCCAGCAATCAAAAAGATTATCAAGATGATTGTGTTAGAATCCGTACAAGAATTTCTATGGGTTTTTTTTATAATTCTCAATCCAATTTTACGCGATTTATTCCATGAAAAGATCTTTGACGAAAATCAATTTTCTTCTATTGTTTGCAAAAATTGTTTTTATGTGACCAATAAATTTAACAACATAAATTGTAACAAAATTAGAGTTAAAATTAAACGAGATATCTAAACTATACTAACAATAAATTTTCCTATACTTTATATTCACGAGTAGAGGACACTTCCTGTAATTCTTATTTATGACTATTTATTAAATAAAATAACAAATAGCATCCATAAACAGCTCAAGCAAATAAGAAATCAAAGTAACTATATGATTTGCTCGGTTTCGAGGATTTTCTTCAGTGCAAATATTATGAGAACGACCCAAACACATACACTCACACCGACAAAAAGTAAAGCTGGCGCCGGGATTTAAACTCAAGCGTGGAAAGCTTAGACAAAGCTTCCAATTTATTGGATGAGAATCCTCTCTAGCATAAGCGCCCAAGTTCTTCTCAAGCGGTAAAGTTTCTCTCTAGGATTAACACTTTCCTATCTTCTCAATGCGTGCAACTGTTTCCGACGGCTTGTACAATTTTCTTTTCGTATTTTTTTTCTTTTTATACTTTATTCGCCCAAAAAACATTCTGCAAAACAATAAATCTTTGATATAAGAAAAGTTTGCGCCTTGCTACTCATAAACACAATGAAATTCTTCGCTGACCTAATAACTTCTTGTCTGAGTGTGATGTGGAGATATGAATATTATTGTAGACTACGATATGAAAGAAAAACATTGAACTGGCTCTGTGTGCGGAATTGCTTCATAAGTTTCAATTCTTGCATAATAATTTTTTTTTTAAGTTATACTTCTTTTGGCGCGTTTGGATGAGAGTGAAATTTGTGAGCTGCGCGCGCATGATGTCCCAAAAAAGCGACATGATGAAGTTGGCCATCAAACATAATTAAAAATATAGAATTCTTTCACTGACTAAGTTAACTCATATACAAGCTAATCGCAAAGTATCCAACGAAACGTTGTTATTTTTAAATTCGATAGAAATGTCATTTAATATGAAAGATATTATTCATATTAATAATCAATTCTAAAAAATGGTCAATTGAATATTTTATTTGATTGTTTAGTTTTAATTCAACTTGGTAATAATTTCTTTTTGATTTATATTTTTTTCAAAAATAATAATAATTTTATGAAATAAAATATTTAAACTAAAATATAAATATTTTAGTATTTATTATATTTAGGTATCTTTTTATTGTGTTCATAATTTTTTAACATAGATTTTTTAATATAGACTCAAGGTAGTACCTCCACGAAAAGCATATTTCAAGAAACTTATGGAATTTTTTTTATCGAAAGATAAATATATTAATAATTCACCGCAAAAAATTTAGATTAATTCACCGCACCATTTTTGAGTAATTAATTTTCAAAATTGCATTTTTTACACGTAGAGGTATAGAGAGATGGTAAAGTTAGTATGAAATCTTTCGTACCACTCGAATGATGCAAATAGATTTCAAACTAACTTTACCATTTCTCTATACCTCTACGTGTAAAAGATGCAATTTCGAAAATTAATTACTCAAAAACGGTGCGGTGAATTGATCTGAAATTTTTATGGTGAATTATTTTATTTATTTATACTCGTGCTTCGTCCTTAAGATTAGTACCCTGAAATTCATTTAAATACTTGTAGTAACACGCAGTATTGCCACTCATTCACTAGATTTGAGAGTAAGAAACGAAAAATCCCCAGCGCTGGCGTTTTAGCCTGCCATCTACTCTCTCTCGGCTCGTGTACTCATTCACGTTTTAGTGCTTAACCACTCAACACGTTTAGTGCTTAACACAAAAAAAAAAAAAAAATGCCGAAGAAAAGAAGCCGATCAAGATCGAGGGACTCATCCGTCTCAACCGAATCTTTCGACTATCTCCAGAAAAAAGTTCAGAAATATGAAAGAAAATTAGCTAAGAAAATGAGAAGGGACAAAAGTCGCGAGGATCGACAACGTCAGAAGGAACTGGAGGACCAGCGGACTAACAAAGGTAATTAAAACAATTACAATAGAGATAAAGATAATGCTCAGAGCAGTTATTTGGGACTGTATCACGCATTAAGTATTTTATTTGACTACGTATGTATTTACATACAAAGTCACGAGTTTCCTCTTAGGAAAGAAATTTCATACACAGGGCAGTTTGTGGAACTGTCTGAGTATAATAAATAGACAAGTTGTCAAAAAATAAATAGAGATGCTGAGCGGTTTGGGGAACCGTCTCGTACCATCTAGAAATAATTGATCTACATCGGTAGATTATTAAATTATAAAATTCATCTGGTCGCCATCTTCTGTTTTTCAGAAAATGACACGTCACAAACTGAGACGTCAGAGGTTGTAACGCCAAAGGAGGTTCCTGAGGTATCGACAAAGGAGACACCGAATCAAACGACACCTGGCGACGGATCAGAGGAAACTGAACCTACGCCACTTGAGTCGGTAACTGGGTTATCCACAGAGTCAAATATAAACAAAACTCAGGAGGTTGCAGATCAAGTCCAAAAAGAGAAGGAGGTTGTGACAATAGACCTCGACAAGGACATTCTCGAAATTTTAGGCGATGACCCAACAAATGAAATTAAATATGGACCTGAGATCCATAAAGAAATTGCGACTAGGTTTGAACATATCGCAACTTTGGGGTTGTCCAAAGAGAACCGAAAAGAAATAATGGAGAAATATTTGACACCGGCAAACTGTACTCGCTCAGGTGCTCCATTATTGAACCCTGAAATTAAGGCGGCTATCTCAGAAACTGTGATTAAGCGAGATAAAGGCATTGAGGCAAAACAAAAGCAACTAGCTACAGCTATAGCAGGTCTTGGAAAGGTTATTTCCGCGCAAATGTGTGCTACAAACAGGGACACAGAACTAGTAAAAGACCTTATGAACACTGGGCGTATTTTATGCGATTTACAACACGCCGAATCAGTAACTTTGCACTGTACTCGCTGAAAAAAGAAATTAAGGACCAACTAACCGATAACAAAATAGATAAATTTTTATTTGGAGAAAATTTAGCGGAGACGCTAAAAGCAGCAAAAGCGGTATCAAAGTCGAGTACAGATATTAAGTTAGACTCAAATACTAACCCTAAAACAGCTAAAGTGACCTCAAAGCTTTTATCTTCCAAAAGTTTAAACTGGAAAGCCCCGATCCCATCACGCAGGCAGCAGGGATCTTACCAGAAGGGCCAGGAGACTGCCTTTCAATGGAATCAGCATGGCAACTCATCGAAGAAGTCGCAGAGTCAGCGCAAGCAGTCATATCGTCGTTAGATCCGGTAAGATATGCAGGACAATTGTCAAAATTCCATAGACAATGGTCATTGGTCTCAAATGACAATACCATAAAATCTTGGATCAATGGTTATAAAATAAAATTCTCTAAACCAGTTGTACAAAATTATATACCCCAAACGCGAAGCTTCTCCGAGTCAGAGAAAACTTATATTGATAAGTCCATTCAAGATCTGCTTAATATCGGAGCAGTAGCAGAAGTAGAACCAAGCGTAGGACAATTTATATCAAGCATCTTTGTGATACCCAAATCCAATGGGGAAATGCGTTTTATTCTAAATCTCAAGGCTCTAAATGAATTTATTGATACTGAACACTTCAAAATAGAAGACCTACGTACAGTATTGAAAATAATCTCTAAAGACTGTTTCTTAATGAAAATAGACCTCAAAGACGCATACTTGCTAGTAAAAATTCACCCAGAAAGTAGAAAATATTTAAGATTTTTCTGGAAGAACAAGTTGTATGAATTTTTGGTATTACCCTTCGCATTAAATGTAGCTCCCTACGTTTTTACTAAGCTATTGAAGCCAGTTGTTAAACTCTTAAGATTAGCACGATTTATATCGTCGATCTATTTGGATGATTTGTTACTAATAGGACGTTCTCGTACAGAATGTAGACAAAATTTTAATATATCAATAAAATTACTTACAGCCTTGGGATTTATTATAAACAGAAATAAAAGTAGCACTTCCCCATCTAGATCATGTAAATATTTAGGGTTTGTGATAGACACCGAGAAATTTTGTATTAGCATACCCGAGGAGAAAAAAGAATTAATTGTGCATGAGGTGGAAAAGTTTGTAAACCTCAAAAGATGTAAAATTCGAAAATTTGCTCGCTTAATAGGACTTTTGGTTTCCGTTTGTCCGGCTGTAGAGTACGGGTGGCTATATACAAAACAGTTAGAGCGGTATAAATTTCTTAACCTCAAAGAAGACGGCAACTACGATAAATATATGATTATACCCGATAATACATTACCGGAACTTCAATGGTGGCTAAAGGCCATGCAAAACCCAAGTCATAAGATAAGGGACGATAATTATTGTATGGAAATTTTTTCAGACGCCTCGATGACTGGCTGGGGCGCAGCATGTGGTAAAGAGACGGCCAGCGGTCAATGGTCAAAAGAGGAAAGTAAACTGCACATTAACTTTTTAGAATTAACCGCTGCCTTTTTCGCGTTAAAAATTTTTGCAAGGAAGATCCACAGCTGTCAGATACTTCTACGCATAGACAATTCCACAGCGATAGCCTATATAAACCGAATGGGCGGTATTCAATACCCACACCTCACTCAGGTGTCAAAAGACATCTGGCAATGGTGCGAAGCGAGAAAAATTTTTATCACAGCTTCGTACATTAAATCTATAGACAACGAGATTGCGGATGCAGAATCTAGACGCTCTCATCCAGGTATTGAATGGACATTATCAAGTAAGGCTTTTTACAGAATCAAAACGGTGTTTAAAGAGCCCGAGATTGATCTATTCGCTACTAGGATCAATAAAAAATGTAACAAATATGTATCCTGGTTTAGAGATCCAGATGCTTTCGCAGTAAATGCTTTTACTTTGAACTGGTCACATTTATATTTTTATGCGTTTCCACCATTTTCTATTATCCTAAGAGTACTCAAAAAGATAATAGATGACAAAGCCGTGGGTATTGTAGTTGTACCTTTGTGACCCACACAACCATGGTACCCAATCTTTCAAGAAATTCTTGTCTCAAACTTAGTTATTCTCCATTCTTATGATATTATTACGCCATGTTCCAGCAACAGCAACATTCACTCCAACCTTATCCTGGCTGCAGGAGTATTGTCAGGTCGGGACTACTAAAGAGAAACGTACCAGAGGATACGATAGACATTATGATAGCATCTTTATCTGAAAACTCAATTAAACAATACGATGTATGCCTGAAAAAATGGTTCCACTACTGTCAAGGAAAAGGTATTGACTTGTACGAGGCCTCAGTCTCCGAGGTTCTAGAGTTCCTGACGAACTTATTCAAAAATGGTAGTCAATGTGGGTCTCTAAATAGCTGTAGAGCAGCATTGGCTCTAGTAATCACGGAAAAGATATCAGAAGACGACAGAATTCGCCGTTTCTTCAAAGGGGTCTTTAGATTGCGACCACCACTACCAAAGTACGATGTCACCTGGGACACGTCAATCGTCTTAGATGCTCTAGCGAAATGGTACCCTAATGAAGAATTATCGTTGGAAGAACTCACCAGAAAATGTGTGACTTTACTGGCTCTCGGAACCGCACATAGAGTGCAAACATTATCTAAAATAAACATTGACAACATAGAAGTTAAATCAGAAGAAATACTTATAAAGATACCAGACATGATCAAAACCTCGCGGATAGGAGCTAAACAGCCATTACTGTCTACCTTTTTTCAAAGAAAAATTGGAAATTTGTCCAGGTACGGCTCTGACAGCCTATATTCGAAGAACCAAGGATCTGCGATCTACAAAAGACCTTTTCATCAGCTACAGAAAGCCTTTTGGAACAGTTACCACACAGACAATAAGTCGTTGGATAAAACTAACATTAAAAGATAGTGGCTTGGATGTGACAACATTCTCGGCGCATAGTACACGCCACGCATCAACTTCGAAAGCTCATAAATTGGGCGTTAATATTGATGAAATAAGGAAGACCGCAGGCTGGAGTGGAACTTCCAACACCTTTGGGAAATTCTACAATAGAATTATTGTAGCACCGAATAAGGGATCACTGGCAAGGGCAATAATCAATGAACCGGAGATGTAAAGTTTTTTGTTTTTTAATTTCTCTCTTTATGCATGTAATAAATAATAAATATATTAACACAAATTAAGGTAATTATTGTGTGAATCAATTAATATACAACATGGTCATTCCTGAATCTAAACTCTCAAGATCTACAAGTATTTAAATGAATTTCAGTGTACTAATCTTAAGGACGAAGCACGAGTATAATTAATAATTAAACGAACTTACCAAGTGAAGTTCTATTATAATTATACGAAGTGCTTCGTCCGAGAAGATTAGTACCACCCTCCCACCCGAACAACAGTTCTTCCCAAAAAAGATTCAGGAATGTCAGTGAGAAAAAGACTCCAAAATAAATGAGTACACGAGCCGAGAGAGAGTAGATGGCAGGCTAAAACGCCAGCGCTGGGGATTTTTCGTTTCTTACTCTCAAATCTAGTGAATGAGTGGCAACACTGCGTGTTACTACAAGTATTTAAATGAATTTCAGGGTACTAATCTTCTCGAACGAAGCACTTCGTATAATTATAATAGAACTTCACTTGGTAAGTTCGTTTAATTATTAATTATTCATGATAAATGCTAAGGCACAGGCCGAATGGCAAGGAATTTAAATTACATTTAAAATGTGTATGAATATGAGTATACATTAGATTATTTACAAAGTTACTTAAAATTTTATAAAATACAAAATATAGATAGATAAAAGGCTACATTAAAATATTCAGTCGAATAATTATTTGTAATATTCGGATATAAGTTTTGGTTTATAGTTATGAATATTTAAATATTGAGATTTTTTGAATTATTTGGTATAGTAAAATTTTGATTTATTAATATGATTTAGATAATAGTCAATAAAATTTAAACATTGAGATTTAAACAAGGCCAATTATAATAAGAATATGCTTTTAAAGTCCTTGAGTTAGAATGATTTAAAATAAACTATATCGTAAATTATAAATTAAGATTTAAAATTCCATAAGGTTTATAATTCCATAATAAATTCCATTATTAATATATATATATCTTTCGATAAAAAAAATTTCATAAGTTTCTTTAAATATGCTTTTCGTGGAGGTACTACCTTAATCATTTTGTTTTTCGAATTTAGTAATTCTATCGATATTTTTTAAAATGTATATTATAGACCATTTTAGTAATTTTCCGAAATTTTATTGGAAACAAAATCTAGTTTTGTACTACAATATTTGTAACTCTTTTAATTCATGTAATTAATATTCTTTTTGAAAAAATATTAATTAAAAAGATATTATCACTAGGTTAAAAAAAAATAATGAA